TGCGATAGGACCATTCATTGTCTCTAACAGCACATCAAGTAGTTGGTACAACAACTTCAAAAATGGCCACTTTGACTGGACCGAAGAACCACGATTTAGGAGACTAGCTAAGCTCAATGTTGACTATCTCCTGAAGCTGGTTGAAGAAGATTCTAGGTTTAGTACCCATCAGCTGAGACAAGAGCTCATAGCCATCACGACACAACAGCTGTCCATTTGCATCGCCTTGGGAAGACATAAAGATTCGGAGATATGGATAAGCTTTGATCTGGGTGTTCACGACCTCCAAATGAAGAGGGATTCATGCCTAAACTTGATGACTTTCCGACGCACCTTCGCATGGCTGGAAGACTTAATCACTGGCGATGAGAAGTGTGTTCCCTACTTAAACCACACGAGGAAGCGCCAGTGGCTTAGATGCGTAGAGCATGGAATCCCGACCTCCAATCCCGAATTCCTACCTCAGAGGGCAATGCCAAGCGTTTGTGGCCATTCAACAGGATCATTCACTGGGACTTTCTACAACCGAACTCCGCTGTCAGCACAGAAGCCCAGTGTGCTCTGAGGACCGGATTGCTGCAGCTCTAAGAGAGAAACTCGGAAAAGTCTATTTTCTCCACGGCAGTGCTCGCCCACACTTCGTACATTGACGAATTTTCCTCCTCGAAACCTTAGGAATTCTACGCAAGCAGGAACCACAAGTTGCCTGGTGAATGGCAATACCTTGTCGATAATGATGGCGCATATATTTGTTAATTGTTTGTTATTGTGAAGGAAAAAAATAAATTAAAAAAAAATTGCGAAGGGCGCAAATACTTTTCCGACAACCTAATAGTTGTGATAAACGGCAAACAGCACGCTCCTTCTTTGGAACGAATGATAGTTTTCGGAACACGAAGTTCGGTAGAGAAACAATAGAGCATGCGAACGATATTCAGAACGTGCCCTCACCTATGGATTAGGATCTGTCTCTCTCGATCTGTCCCTGTTCATGTTAAAAATAATGACCCATTGAAGATTTAACTGGTAGGCTTTCAAAGCATTGAATGGCACTCACAAATGTTGTCGAGTCATAATAATACCATTATCAAATGTATGTGAATGTAGCTCCTTTTTTTCTACGGATACATCATTAAATGAGATTCCAAGATTGATAGCGGTCGGATAAGTTTCGAGCGAATGATATCAAAGCATAGAGAAACCGTGATACTTCGTTGAATCTCAAATTTCGAGTTATGAATTTCCGTACAAAGAGACAGACAGACGGACGGGCAGGCAGTCGCGAGCGTTTTACATAAAGTAAGGATTCCAAATTCATAGACAATTCGGCACAAGTTCGGTTGCTCGTTTAATGGTTCAAGTTGGGAATGTCTATAAGCAGGCGTTCCCATACTGCATCCATTTCTTATTCTGCAAAACATTGGGAAACAAATAGTAGAATTAAGAACATTGGGCGCTTAACTATGGATCTGTTATAGTCATGAGTTCTCTATATTGTTTTTTCGTTATTCTAATACTTCTACTATTTTCCGCTGAAGAAGTTGTTAAACTAAAGGCGTAGTTCACGATAAAAATGGTTCATGAAGTTCTCCCTTAGGATAAGTTTGAGACCCCCGTGTTATTAGGTCGAAAAACGACATAGTTAGGGAGTTATAAATGCTCAAACATTGGCCCGTGTTTATCCTCGGACGAGTTTTACCGGCATTGTAGAGGTTGCACCGATAACAAGGGAACCCATGTAGGAAGTTCACATGACTTGACATGACCCACAGCGACAATGAAAGGCAGTTTCTTTGCGCAATTGCAGTAACTGAAATCTCGACCGAATGCCCCTTCCATGTTATTTCCTTCATAGCAACCTCGTCCGACCTCCATTTTCCCTACTTTTGACGAGCCATATTTTTCTCGGAATCGGCGAATTCTCCCGCTTTCTTCTCTACCGATGGACTATTCCAATCTATACTTCCGCTTTTCGAATAAAAAACAGGGTACCTCAAAATGATCGTGAGCTGTGCCTTTAATGGTTAAATTTCTATTTTGCCCCTATTGAGCCCCAATGTGGTGGGAAAGGCTGTGGGTTCCTTCTCTTCACGTTGCGATTTCAGAAATTGCCTAGGTGGCCATTGCTAAAAAAGCTTCGTGAAGCAGAACGTGAGCTGTTAGCAGCCGGTAATCCACTTGCTATCGAACGTCAAAAGATCCGCGAATACAATCGTCAGCTCCGCTCTGAGATACTGCAGGAGCGCGATGTTCTTGAGGAACAGCTACGTCATCTGCGTCAGCTCTATATGGAATATTTCGGTGCTCAACAACTAGTGCAGGTACTGTGATTTTCAATTTAATATCATTGAGGCTTTTTTGAAGCTCTGTGTGTTGAACAGCGTTAACCTGGTCAGCGTCTCTGTTCGCTGCTATGGAAGGAGCAGCCGCTCACTCCTGTAGGAGTTCTGTGCTAATGTACTTTTCGTATCCCCTATCACTGTATGAAATAAAGCTTATCAGTTACCTCAATAGTTTCAGCTATTTTGGCTCAGTAGTGTGTTATTTCTTTCTAACGATTGAAAGTTGTGTAGGCTTCAGGAATTCAACGGCAGCAACCAAACTGGTGAAAGAGGACAGAATGATAAGAGCAAATATGAGATCACCCTTTTCCCTGAAGCGGTTCCTGTAGGTTGCAGTAAGGAAGAAATCTTGACCGAAGTGTTTCACGCCGATTCACATGAAGAGGTCTGTGAAGAACGGGGCCTTAGCTCAACTGTCGGCATCAATAATGATGTACGGATGCGGGTGCAGGACAAATTTGAATGTACCGCTGAGCCGGATACAGTGATCTCGTGTGGTGATGACGAAACTTATCCAGATGTCGAAATGGAACATGGGTCGTGAATCAGCAATCGTTAATGCATCTTCATCGGCCACCTTATTGACTTCTAACATCGCTATCTCATCCTCTTGCCATTGCGAGGCGAAGATTCCCTTTGACAATGGAAATTCATTTTCATCACCAGAGCTCTAGTCACAAATTTGTTTCGATTGATTCTACTTTGTCCTCCTCAAATCAATTCATCAATGTGTTTCTTTTCTGGGTGCGATATCGAAGTGTCGTAATGCAGAAAACAATTGTATTTGAGCTATTGTTTCAGGTGAATTTGAAGTGTCATACTCCAATTTGATTATTTAGTTCATGTAGTAATTGCATCATTTTGTCCAGTAGTGGAATTGGTTGAAAAATCCTTATCTCTCCTGTATAGAATGCTCTGTTTCAGGAGCGTAAACACCTCGTGCATTTATCTATAACTGATTTTTCTTTCATGATTGTCTTTTTTCACTTCGCCTGTTATTGTAGAGGGATTGACATTGATTAATTTCTATCTCGAAAGTGTGCCATTCATTTTATGGTTCACTCTGCCCATTAAAAGCTCGATGATTCTTTCTCTACCTTTTCACATTACAATCAGCGATGATTTCGATAACCGAGTTTCTGCCCGCAGTATTAATTTCAGCAGTTGAGATGATTTCGTGAGTTCTTCGAGAATATGTGACACTATATTTGTAGAACGTGTACGATAGCGAATAGAATCTGGCCTAAAATGATGTGGTTGCGACGAGCAGTCATAGATTACCTCTTGCAACAGGCAAAAAACGAAACATTTAATACTAGTTCAGAATATCTCTCGTCTTTTGTATTGAAGCCACATGAATGAGTTAATTCAATATTGCCGGAAAGCTTCTGTGATAAAGTGAGGAAAGCAACATTAGCAAGAGGAGGGGTGGATTAAAATGAGAAGTGCCAATTCATGCTAGGCTCTTTTAACATTCATTAATCAAATGTATGCTGTCAAAACTATCCTTCTGAGCAGGCCACTCACCCATGGACATTATTTTCTCCCGTTTCGGAATGTTTTACACCACTCAGCCATTTCATCCTTTACTTTTCCTTCTTCCTTTACAAATACTTTGACGATCTGTACTGAGCTTCTCGCGCTGTACTTAAAGTATAAGGTTACTCAAATGTGCTTCGTTTCAAGGTGCTCGAAGTACCTTTGCTAGAGTGCAATGAGAATTTTTGGACCTGTAGCATGCTCAACATAGCATTCGATTCTTGAGCAACTCTGGAGCAGTGATCGAAAAACTGTACCTAGTTGGTTAGGCTGAGGTATAGGAGTCTAATTGTAAGCGCGCAAATTCGGCAGGCATAATGTGATTTTGTCGAACCAACCATCGCTAGTATCCTGCCCCTCACTCGTGCAAATATACAAAAGAGAATGGTCGGGTTTTCTCTGCACAGCGAGGACTTTAACGGCAGGCACCCGATTTCCGAACAAAAAATGATGTGTATAGAAGCCGAGAGACTTTATAGAAGTCATCAAGTAATACTCCTTATTGCACAAATACGCCTTCACGGTAGATGTAAGCCCCCTTGACCTGTTTTCCCAAATCAACCCAAATAGAGAGAATTTGATGCAGAATTCTCAAGTGCATAGAATGAGTTAAGAGTTTCCATTTAATAAAGGACATGAGAAGGGATTTGTGTACTATTGGGTTGTCCAAAAAGTTCTCGCCGATTTTTGATCCATCTTTGAATGAAAATTCCTAGGAGAAGAAATCCATTGATTGAACAATATATCCTCCATTTTGTTCAGTAAGGATTCGCCAACACCCTGTAGGTTCCAGTTCCCCTCTTCCATGGAAGGTTCCAGAGTTCAAATCGAAAAACCCACTCAGGTGTTTTTTGCAGTCCTCAGCGGTTTGAACGATTTTCCATTTAAAGAATTTTGCAGAAACCTGAACAAGTGGTATTCTGATGGTGCTATGTCTGGACAATATGGGGGTTGTGGTAAGACATCCCACCCAAGCTTTAGCAACTTTTGACGAGTGGCCAAAAATACGTGTGGTCTGGAGGTACCCTTTTGGAAGATTGCGCCCTCACAATTGGCCACTTCGGGTCGCTTTTGGTCTATCGCTGCCTCCATATTTTCTATCTAACTATAGTACCTTTCCTGAGTCATCTTTTGATTGTGCGACAACAGGTCATGGTAAGTGATTTCCCTGAAATCCCATCAGCAACTCGGCATAGTCATCCGCACCTGGATTTTGACCTTTGCATCGGTTTGTGACGGCTTACTAGGGGTCTACACGATCGTTTCCGCTCCTCATTGCTGTACACAATCCGATTTTCATCCCTCATGCTCATGCATTTCAGAAAGGGCTCACTTTTGTTTCGTTCGAGCAACGAGTCGCACATGGAGGCGCGGTCTATCGCAGCGCGCTTGCTCCTTTCGCGAGATATCTAAAGATCAAGGCGCTTTACAAAACCAAGCGTCTGCAGATAACCATGGATGGTTAATTTCGAAACAATAAGCCCTTGTCCTACTCCACGAGCAGTGATGCGCCGATTTGCTTCGGTTAGCATTTTGAGTTGATCGTTTAAACTGATGATAGTCTCGCCGACGGTTGCCGGTCTTCGAAGGCGAATTCACTCTGTTTGGATTCCGCAAACTAGTCATGCACTGTATGTTCCTCTAGTGCATGGTCTACACAAACGTCATATATCTTTCATGCGGCATGAGCCGCATTCTACACCTTGCGGTAGAAGAAATGCTTTAGATGTCGAAAATGCGCGCAGTGGTTCTCCATGTTCATACGAGTCCTGTACAGAAAAACTTCGACAAATGTTGACGGAATTCCAACAGGAATATAGAGAAGAACCAACTCTTTCAGAAAACATATAACTTTATTAGACTGGGTCCATGATCTTTTGTACAACGGTTGATAAAACTGGGATGTCAAAAATCGGCGGAAACTTTTCGGACAACCCAATATTTAGAAGTATAAGTGAACAGGAAATTAACAAAAGCGAATATCGATGGGAGGAAGGGTGCTTAAAAAGTTAGTACTGACATATAGTGGCTCTGCCCTTAATCAACAAGTTTTACGCGATTTTTACGTCAAAAGCGCGCGAAGGGGATCCAAAATTGGAAACAGAAGGATCACGAGATGTTAATCAAATAGCAACAGCTCAATGTCTATGCTACACAGTAAACAATAGGATGCAATTTTTGTACTGCTGTAACGACCAGTTTAACCAATGACCTTTCCTTTAACCGTATGGTTGCGGTTCAACGTTGTAGACAAGAACACCTAGAACTGCAATCACTAATTTGACCAGGGTACATAAAGGAGGCTTGTCGTCAGCAAATCAGTCATAGGTAGCGATACAGGGCACATAATTCGAAACTTCATGTATTACGGAAAACTTTTCGCGGCTTCGGCAACCATTACCAATCTATCATATGGATTTCGACGATGCAGTCGTACAGAACATGTCCTCAGACCTTTACTCGAAATGAGAGATAAAACACTTATTTTACGGGTACTCATTTTCTGAATTGGAATATTCGAAGGAAAATATGAGTTGCAGAAAAGGAGTAATCTTAATTCATCCATAGAAGTAGCGTCACATGGAAAGACCTCGTCGCTCGGCAAATATTGTACCATTCGTGGGGTTACATTGACACGCAATGGTAATTGTCGGTAACTGAAAACATTGTTTCATAGGTGGGATCATCAATGCTAGTAATGCTAGTAACCGAGCTTCGTATTCTCGCAGAGTCGCCACTCCATCCCTGCATTGTCTCTACAGTTTCGGATTGATAATTGCACCGAGAAGTGGGCATAAAATTTTATAGACGTGGCCATTGCAATGGAGAGAAGGTGAAAAAAGTGTAGCCGAAAGTCGAATTTTAAGCAGAGCAATATTCGACGAGTTTCTCACATCAAATATAGACTTCTGCTCTTCTTCGACCTCCGAACAACACCTATCATCCCACCTATATATATAATCTGCTAAGTGTGTGTGTGTGCGTGCGTGTGTGTGTGTGAGTGTATGTGTGCGTGTGTGT